TGGATGGAGGGATGGGTGGATGGAGGGATGGGTGGATGGAGGGATGGATGGAGGGATGGATGGGTGGAGGGATGGATGGATGGAGGGATGGATGGATGGAGGGATGGATGGGTGGAGGGATGGATGGAGCTTCATTTCATGCCACTCTCCCTTCACTCACCACCCTCCAGCCAGACACACTGGCCTTGCACTTCCTCAACACACCAAGGTCATTCCCACTTTAGGGCCTTTGTCCTACACCTTCCCTCCCCCTTAAACTGCCTTCCCTCGCATGTCCCCGTCTCCCCCACTGGCTTCTTTTACTCCAGGTGGGTCTGTGCTTGGATATCACTCCCAGAGCAGGCTTCCCTGGCTGCCACAGCTGGAGTAGGTCCCACCCCTGCATTCCGTCTGGATGTCCCTCATTCAGTCCCTCCACAACTGGTGACTGGCTTGTTTGTTACCGTTTACTTGTTTGTTCTAAAACATGTTTGATATAGAAAAGAACATTTAGAAATGAGGAGCAGAGAAATAAATAGGAAAGAAAGAAGGAAGGAAGGAGAGTGAGAGAGATTACCCAAATATTACAACTCAGAGATATACACTATTGACACACAGATTAGATCCCTCCAACCCTGTCTCTACCAAGACACGGAAAACACACACACGCACGCACGCACGCACGCACATGTGCGTACACATAAAAAAAAAACCCACGTATAAGACCTAGGAATAAATACACACATACATGTATTTACATGAGTCTTGTTATACATACTGTCTCACAACTTTTCAAAACAGAACAGCGTAGCATGAACATCTTTCCATGAATCGTCCTCCTACAGCCCTTTTACTGGCTGTTGGGTCTTTCCGGGGGACACTTGTGACAAGGTTTGTGGACAGTGCCGCCTTCTGGGACATTTGGGCTCTGTCCATTTTCTCCACACATGTAACCAGAGCTGCCATGAACATCCTTGTCTCTGGATCTCTGCCCATCCTTGACTATTTCCTAGAAGTGACATTGCTGGACCAAATAGACTTTAAAAAAATCTAAGTGATACAATGGAATAAATGATTAAAATGATACATAATTATTTTTAGTGAATGAGGATGTCCTGTTTACTGCCCCCCCCAGGCTCCTGCCCAGAGGTTTAAGGCTGTGAGCCATGGAGCGTGTTAACCTCCCGGCTCCCTGGTTCGAAGCATTCACATACACACAAAGGCAAACCCATCCGGTTTTACTGGTGATCCATTTTCATGAATGGATACACTCTAGCCTTTCACTTGCTTTTCTCGCCTAAAGATATGCATTGCAGTTGGCTCCTGGTTGGCACATGGACTTACCATTTTTAAGAGTTGCATGGTATTCTGTAAGATGGGTGTCATGGTGTTTAATTTTTAATAATGAGATGATTCAAAGGTACAGAGAACCCACCACCCAGATTTAAGAAATGTTACCATTTTGTCATATTTGCCTCTGATTTTTTTTTGAGATGAAACATTCTAAAAATAAATCGCTGAGGCCACTTGGGGTCCCCTCTACCCCCGAAGGAATCACACAGATATGATGCTGGTGTGTATCCTTCTTACCTGTGTTTTTATACTTTTACTACATATCTATGTGTGTCAATAATTCTTGCTTAGTATGTTTTATATGCCCTTAAATTTTACATAAATGGTATTCTACCATATGTATCCATCTACAATCTGCTTTTTTTATAACTCAACATTGTTTTTTCCTAGCTAAACAAGTGATCTGCTTTTGCAGCTGTTGCCAAATTGCTCTTCAGAAACTTATTAAACATAGACTCCCCAGCAGCATATGAACACTCACCCAAAACTGGATAGTGTGAGTTTGAAATACACGTGCACTTAAAACAGTTTACCTCTCTCTTTAAAATTTTGCTAATTTGACAGACGAAAACAAGCAAACAGAATCTCATTGTTCTTTCAGTGTAATTTCTGGGCTCATTGGCAAGGCCAAAGCTGAGCCAATGGCGCGACTGGGAGTATGCCAGGTGGTTGGGAGTGTTGCCCGAGGGACCTTGGGCACGTCATTTCACCTCCCTGTGCCTCAGTGTCCTCTCCTGAAAAATGAGCATCATCACACCTGCCTCACAGGATTGGCAAGAAAAGCCCCTAGAAACTAGCTCCCTGGAGGCACAGGATACTATTGTTGGTTTCTGGTCATGGCTTCCTCCTCTGTGAGCGCATGATTGGTTTCCTCAACCCATTTTCTCCTGGGATGAAGACATTGAGTTATAATTCCTGAAGGAAGCCCAGGCTCACCCTGTCTCCTCCGCCCCCAGGGGGAGTTTTTCAGTGTGGCGCACCCCAGTCCTCCTCCCTTCACCTCACCAGCGCTGGACTTTCCCGCCAACCATGACCGCATGGTGTACCTGGGCATCTCCGACTACTTCTTCAACACCGCGGGGTTCGTGTACCAACAGGCGGGGGTCCTACACCTGACCGTCACAGACAACATGGTAAGGCCAGGCTGGGGGTGGATGCAGGATGAGCGTGGGGCTCAGAGCCCAGCAGGCCGTCTGGACTCGAACCTGTGTTCACACGGCGGGGGAATCGTAGCCCAGCCTCTAGAGGCGGCCAGACCTGAGTTGGAATATCGGCCCCCCTCTTTTCTAGCTGGGTGACCTTAGGCCAGTCATTCAAGCTCTCAGGATCTGTTGCCTCACCTGTAAAACACCAATACCAGTATCTCTCTCCCCAGCATGTGAGAGGGTGGAATGAGATATGGATGCACGAGAAGCACTCAGCACACGCTGAGCAGGTAGGAAGTCCTTGATGAGGGATGAAAGTTGCAGCCAACACTGCCCGAGTACTTGCCCCAAATGCAGTGTTTTGTTTTGTTTTGTTTTTTAAGATTTTATTGAGACACAGCGAGAGAGGGAACACAAGCAGGGGGAGTAGGAGAGGGAGAAGCAGGCTTCCCGCGGAGCAGGGAGCCCGACGTGGGGCTCGATCCCAGGACCCCGGGATCATGACCCGAGCCGAAGGCAGATGCTGAACCGACTGAGCCACCCAGGCGCCCCTGCCCCAATCCAGTCTTAGCCTCACATCGCCATTATCATCATCGTCAGTGTCTCTATTGATATACTCGTGACTGAGTCCTGTTCTGGGCCTCAGTTTACCCATCCTCTCCAGAGTCCAGATGCAGCCAGGTCACCAACCATGTGGGGTTCTGCCCACACTGCTCCTGGAAGAGGATGTAGGGGCACCAAAAGGATGCTGAGCCCCCACATGTCCCCTGGAAATGAACAAGGACCACCAGAACGAGAACTCTTCGGGACAAGAGAGTCAGCCAGCCACACTTGCGTTGGCAGAGACGAACGCACGCGGAGGAGGGGGCTTGATGGCTTTATATCTTTACAACTGTGTTCCTGTAGAGGTTTTGAGCATGGCGAGCTGGATGTGAGCTAATAGAAGCTGGGCATCCTACGTGATTGCTTTGAAGAGCATATTTGAGTTTTTTAGGGCAAAAAAATAGGGAAGCTGGCCGTCACTGAACGTATCCTGACTGTTCTGGGTTCATGGCTGCAGAACTTGGGGGTCAGCGTTGTTGTCATGGATGGGCTGGCCGTTGTCTGTGTATTCAGTCTCTCACCCCTCATATGGAATTTGGTCCCCTCTCCAATCTATAACATAATCCTCCAAGATACTTTTCTCTTCTTCCCTTGCTACAGATACCAAAGAGATCCAAATTCCGACTGACAACCACATTTCTTGGAACCCTCATACCCCAGGTAAGAAAGAGGCTGCTCCCCTTTTGTCCCCTCATGAGGCAGCCTGGGGGTGCCAGGGAGGACTGAGCTCTGCTGAATGGCCTGAGGAGAGCACCCCCCGCCCCCCCGCCTCCAGATCCAGAGGCAACCCAACCTGAGAGTGGAAACAGCCTTGTGCAGCCCCTCCTCCATGCAGAGAGAGGCTCCAAGCACCCAGGCGACCAGGCGTGAGGGTAGATGCTGGGGGCTTATCCACTCAACGAATATTTATTGAGTGCTCACCATGTGGCCAGGGCTCTGCTCTTGGCATCTAGCAAAACAGACCATATCCCTGCCCTCCTGGAGCCCCAGGCCAGTGAAGAGAGAAAATTACCCTTCAGGCACCCAAAACAATTAAAAAGAAGGTGCTCCCCATGACACATGAAGCCAATGGATGGATGAGGTCACTTCAGATGAGAGCCTCAGTCTCAGTCTGCCTGGGCTGCCATAACAAAGTGCCACAGGCCAGGGGGTCCCCACAACAGGAATGTATTTCTCATGGTTCTGGAGGCCAAGAAGTCCAAGGTCAAGATACCCACAGATTTGGGTTTGGGTGAGGGCCTCTTCCTGGTTAAAAGATGGCTACTTTCTTGCTGTGTCCTCACATGGCTGTTCCTCTGAGCTCATATAGAGAGAGAGCAAGCACGCTCTGGTGTTTCTCCTTATGAGGCCATTGATCCTATTGGATCAGGGCCCCACCCCTATGACCTTATTTAACCTTAATTACTTCCTTGGTGCCTTGTCTCCAGCTACAGCTGTACTGGGGATGAGAGCTTCAATACATGAGTGTGGGGGACACAAACATTCAATCCATAACAGCCTCTCCAGTGGTGGCACTTCCAGAAGTTTCTATACAGGGGGTACTGGTGTGGGGAGGCGTGACTGGTAGGGGGATGAGGGGAATCTTCTTGAAGCTTTATGGCCTAACAATCACGTTGTTTTTCTGAGACCGAGAGTCTACCCGGTGGGTGGGTGGGGGGGACTGGAGGCTAGAAGAGGTTGGGTTGTCACCAAAGCCCTCCTTAAGATATGCAGCAGGAGGCCACCACTGCTCTGTGAAGAGGTGACATTTGAGCTGACCCCTAAAGAAAGGGAGAGAACCAAGCTGGGAAAGAATGAGGGTAGAAGCATTCAGTGAGATCAGCAGAGAGTGCAAAGGGTGTTAGATGGGAACAGAGTGGGTTGTATGTTTGGGGAACAGAAAGGAGTCCCATGTGGCTGGAGCTGGAGAGCCAAGGGGTAGAGGTCTGTGGGGGGAGGCTGCAGGAACCGAGTCCCACTGAGTGAAGTCTTTACGATTTAGTCAAGAAGCAACAGGAATACATTGGAGGTGTTCATGCAGGGTCAAGACAAGATGGGATTTAGAAACAGTTGAATAAAACTGTCACTTTGTTGGTTGTCCCCACTGGGGGCTGCAGGTGGCCAAGATGTTCCCCAACATGCCAGTGCAATTCAACATCTGGGCCTCGTCCCCACCGCACCTCACCATGCTCCCCACTGGCCTCGTCTTCACCCCTGCCCTGGAGATCCAGGCCTTTGCTGTGCTCCCAAACTCCTCCTTGGCTTCCCTCTTTGTGCTTCACCTGGTAAGCTGTTCCCAGATGGTAAGCAGATGAGGACACTGCCCTCGGAGTTGGGGAACCAGGGTAAACCATGCCCAGATTCAGATGCTCCAGGACCTGAGACCAGAGCCCCTGTATTAACTGCTTCTGGCTTCTGCAGGCGTTCCTGGCTTCAATTCTTCCCTCCATCACTGGCTTGAAATATGTGTACTGTTTCAGGTTCATTCACTCATATCTCTGGTCATTCAATTATGCATTTGTGAATTTGTTCATTCATTCAATTATTCATTACGTTGCTAACTTGAAATATGCTAGACCTGTTCTGGTTCATGCACACATTAATTTATTCCATTATTCATTTATTCATTCACTTATACCTTTGTTCAATTATTCATTCATTTGTATATTTGTTTGGTCACTCATTCATCACTTATTTATGCATATCTTTGTTTATTCCTTCATTTGTGTGTGTAATCCTTCGCTTATTCAAGTTTTTGGCCCATTGCTGATTTTTGCATTCACTCATCTGCTCACGCTGTCACTCCGTGAGCATTTGCTGGCACCCACTGTGGCCATGGAGGTGAAGGCCAGACTCTCTCCCCACCAGGGGGGTGCTCACAGGCCTCAGGCAGGTCTGCCGTCTCTCAAGTTGAGACCCATTTTCCCCATTTGGTCAATTAAATGGGTTCTGAAGGGTCTGCCCTGGATCATGCAGACAGTGGGCAGGAAGGTTGAGGTGGGGAGCTCAGTTTTCTGATTCAGTAAGTATTTGTTGACTGAATGAATGAATGAATGGCTTGAGAATAGGGCTGGCCTGGACTCTAGCCCTGAGGTCAGTCTCGCCCAGCCCGTGCAAGTGGCCTGGAAACCTGAAATGGTCCCTAGAGCAGTGGGAGAAAATGGTAATTAGGGGACAGCCCAGGACTCACCAACAAGCACAAAGCAAAGGAAGAGCCCCTCCTCCTTGGCTTCCGTGTGGGCTCCTCTGCCAAGCCTTTGTGAAGCTGACCCTCCCATCTTGGAGACCTTGCCAAGGCCTCGGCCCCTGGCTCAGGGGATTTCACTCTTTGGATTGCTGCTTTGCAGAACACGAATGCTTCGATGGAGGTCAACGCCACGGCTGACAGGCTTGTAGGAAAGCTCAGCTTGGACACGTAAGTGGCCGCCCACCCACTCTTGGGGCCCATGGGCCAGCAATGGCCCCACAACACACCAAGCTCCATGTCATTGCTCTCCTGTTCATCCATCACATTTAAGCCTCAGACGGTGCGCGGTGGGCACCAAAGCCCTGTTCTGCAGACAGGAAATCTGATGCTCGGAGATGAAGTGGCCCACCCAAGGTCATACAGCGTAGGTGACCAGTCATCATGGTTTACCTGCAGTCCCCCAGTGTTAGCATGGAAGGTCCTGCACCCTGGGACGCCCCTCGGTCCTGGGCAGACTCATGGCTGTGCGGGGCCAGGAGGTGATTCTACTCTGCGCCAACCCTCAGCAGCGCCCAGCCACCTCTGTCCCTGGCCTGCCTCAGCACGTGGAAAACCCACATCCTTTCCTTCACAGCCCATCTGTGGGCTGTGCTCAGCCGCCTCGTGCTGGGAGAGCCCCGACAGCGGCGGCTGTGGTTAGGCATAGGGACTCTGGGTTGGAGGCTGCCTGCATGCAAAGCACAGCCCCCCTCGGCCAACACTCTACTCAGCAAACTTCCAATGCCCTGGCTTCGAAAGAAGCCCGATGATGTAACAGAAACCAGCCCAATGGCTGTTCCTTGCCAAGAGCGTTGTGGTGAGGATGAAATGAGGTATTAACATGCATTGAAGTGTGGAGAACACAAGGGATTTAAGGGCTCAAGAAGCAAGAGCGAGAGAGGGACACACGGAAAAGAGAAAGACAGCAATGGGGGGAGAGACAGGGAAAGTCAGAGACGCATGGAGAGACTCTCAGAGAGAGACACACACAAAGGGAGGAAGGGAAGGGAGAGACAGAAAGAGAATGAGAGCAAGAGAGACAGACAGATGGAGAGGCAGACACAGAAGGGGGAGAGAGAGGGAAGAACACACACAGAGGAGGAGAAAGGGAGACCCTCGCAGAGTCAGTGTGTTGACCCCAATGGTTAGACCTGCTGTCTGCCTCTTAATCACGCTCACGCTGTTTAAATTGAGTCTTGACCTACATTCCTGCCCACTTCCACCTTCTCTGCAGCACAGAGCTGTCCTTCTTAACCTCAAGACTGGCTCCTGAGGTTTACACGCTGCTTATTTCTCCTGGCATCATTCTGACAAGTGTTACTGCTTCGGATACATGTGGATTTAATTTCCCTTGAACACCCATGAGCCTCTCAAGTAGAGGAGTCGGAGAGGATACAGCTGGGTGAGGGCTGAGCAGATGCTCAAATGTGCAGGGGTGGGGTGTGAGAGTCCACAGAGCAGGAGTCCTGGGGCTCCCACCTCTTGATGAACAAGGGTGAGCTTTCAAGCTTTATTGGAGACAAGAGCTCAGGCATCAGGAGATCTGTTGAAATTCTACTTTGCTAATTGTTCTTTGTATGACCTTGGGCCAGTTGTCTGACATCTGAGTGTCGGTTTCCTTATCTGTAAAACGTGAGTGATGGCCCTTGCCTCTGAGGGTGTTATAGGATTTCCATGGGGTAAAGCACACAACATAGTGAATGATAGGGTTCAATAAGTAGCCATTTATTTCCCACTTTCTCTTAGATCACTGTTAAAATGCCATAAAGACAGTAAAGAGGGGATAGTTTATTGGCTCTGGTAATTGAAAAGTGGAAGGGTTTCAGGCAAGGGTGGATCCAGGTGTTCAAATGATGTCCTTAGGATTCTGACTCTCTCCATTTCTTGGTTTTACTATCTCCTATGCTGGGTTCATTTCTCAGCAGGCTGTCACCGAGTGGTGACAAAAATGGTCACCAGCAGCTCCCTAGTTTTGCTGGAGAAAAGAGAACACCTCATTCCCAGTATTTCCAGAAGTCCTTGGGGCCAACTCTCATTGACACAGCATGGGTCACGGGTCCATCCTTCCATCACTGTGTTAGGGGAGGTGGACTCTGCCCTTTGGCCAGCCTACCCCAGAGCTCAGCACTAACAATGTTGGGAATGGGTGATGCCCCCAAAGGAACAATTAGGGAGCTGTGACCAGAGGGAGGGGAACGGATACTGGGTGGGAAAGCCAGGTGGCATCCACCAGAGAGGGACTCTTCTCCCCAGCAACCAGACTCTAACACAGGTCAGGCAAAAGGTGATCTCAGCTTCCTCCTCCTCTTCACACAGGCTGCTCCTAGAACTGAAGCACTCGGACGTCGGCCCCTTTTCGGTGAGTCTGTCCTTGGTGGCTCCCTCCTTCCGCCGATCTTGAGATAACTGTCCTGAGGGCCACAAAGGCTCCTGGCATCATTTCCGGAGGCCACCTGTTCATTTGCATATAATTTGCATGCGAAGTAATGGCCAGAGGAGTTTTGTGGGCCCACAGACCCAAGCTAGAATCACTGCTCCTTGCTTACTAACTGTGGGCCTTGGGCAAGTCACTTCCCCTCTCTGAACCTCAAACCTTCCCCCAAATCAAGCATAATCCTTTCCACCTACGTGAAAAACCAAATGAGGGTGGGGTAGCACGTGATGGGGAGGCACACAACGTAGTGAATGATAGGGTTCAATAAGTAGCCATTTATTTCCCACTTTCTCTTAGATCACTGTTAAAATGCCATAAAGACAGTAAAGAGGGGTTAGTTTATTGGCTCTGGTAATTGAAAAGTGTAAGGGTTTCAGGCAAGGGTGGATCCAGGTGTTCAGATGATGTCCTTAGGATTCTGACTCTCTCCATTTCTTGGTTCTACTATCTCCTATGCTGGCTTCATTTCTCAGCAGGCTGTCACCAAGTGGTGACTAAAAGCTCTTATGGTGCCTGAGCTCTTACAGTGGCTTGACTCAGCCAGTAACTAATTTCCGCTTCTGCAGAAAATAAAAATTTAAAGTTGTCAGATTCACAGAAAGAAGGGCACCACATTTTATGAGCCCAGGGATTTACAGCCTGGGGAAGGAAACGCAATTGTTCCAGAAAAAAAAAAATGTAATATTTACAAATTGTAAATGTCACCAGGCAATCATCTTGAGGGTGCTACATTATTTTTGAATATTTTTTTACTATTGAAAAAGTAAAACATCTACATTATAGAATGTAGGTTGAAGGTTAGACCATGTGATCAGGGAAAGCCTCTCTGAGGAGGTGATATCTTGCCTGAAAGAGCCAGCAAGGTGAAGATCTGTCGCAGGCCGAGGGAATAGCAGGAGCAAGGCCATGTGGTGAGAACAAGTTCAACATGTTTGGGGAATGGAGGGAAGTCAGAGTGGCTGGAGCAGAGCGAGTTGGGGGTGGGGGTGTAGGAGGAGATGTGGCTGGAGAGGCAGACGGGGCTAGCTCATCCTGGGCCTTCTGGCCTAGAGTAGATTGTGGTCAAAGGGCCGTGAGAAGCCGGTGAGCAGTTCCACACAGAGGGTGACATGATCTGAATTATGCTTTTATAAAAGATGCCCCTAGCTGGGGCGAGGGGAACGGATTTGGGGGGACAAGAGTCAGACCAGGTGTATCAGTGGGAGGTGGGTGCATTTGTCTAGAAAGAGGAGAAAGATGGCAGATGGGAGACACACTTTGGAAGTGGAATTAGATGGAGCTTGGTGAGAGCTGTGATGTATGTGGTGGGGGGTGATGAAGAGTGACTCTTAGATTTTCGGCTTGAACAGCTGGGTGAATGGCAGAGCCAATGTGGAGGTGGAGAAGGGCAGGTGGAAGGGAGGAGGGCGAGTATCTCGCCAGCCCACTAGATGATTCCATTACTTGGAATCACTGACCATGACTAAGTAGACTTCCCCCGCTGCTTCACTCATAAGTCCCCCCGGGGCACTGGAGTTGCCCAGGTAAATAGCAGCTCAATGCTCTTCAACAGCCACCTTGAATGAGTAAGAAGCCACGGCGTGCTGATTTTGTCCACAGTGTCTTCCTACACATGGCCCATGGCCCTACACATCTCTCAGGGGGCCTCTTGTTGAACCCCTAGAGAACATTTCCTTAGATTTCTGAAATGCCTCCCAAAGATCCTCACCAAGTGGGTGCCTTGTAAGCCACCCACCCCCAAAGTTGGACCATTCCAACATTCCCTCCAAATTGGATGGAAATCCAGCCAGCCCTTTCCATCCAATAAGTCTACAACAAACAGAAGGACCCAAACAACCTCATTATATTTTCATGGATTTACTGGTGCCCGAGCTCTTAACGGTGGCTTGACTCAGCCAGTAACCTAACTTCCGCTTCTGCAGAAAATAAAAATTTAAAGTTCTCAGATTCATAGAAAGAAGGGCACCACATTTTATGAGCCCAGGGATTTAGAGCCTGGGGAAGGAAACGCAATTGTTCCAGAAAAAAAAAAAAATGTACATATTTACAAGTTATAAATGTCACCAGGCAATCATCTTGAGGGTGCTACATTATTTCTGAATATTTTTTTACTATTGTAAAAGTAAAACATCTACATTATAGGGTGATCAGAACCTACAGATTTGCAAACCAATGAGAATAAAAGCCATTCTTATTTTTGCCACTTAGTTAATCATTTGGAGTATATCCTTCCGGACCTTTTGCTATGGATATTCAATAGGACGGTGGAATTATGTGGTTTCCATGGCCTGCTTTTCCTCACTCAAATATATATCATGAATATCTCTGTGTGGATAATTAAATTCCTACAATATTATTCTTAACAGTTGCATCGTATTTCCTAGAATCAAGGTGCCACCATGTCCCCCAGATAATTCCCCAATTGTTAGACATGTAAGTTGCTGTTAATTTACTGTTTTGGTTGAATTTATGGCTCTGGTGAGCATCCTTACATCTTAATTTTTACCTGCGTCCTACATCATTTCCTTAGGATGAATGCCTTACAGGCATATTTGCTGGCCCACCAGGCACACACACTTTTTTTTTTTTTTAAAATTGGAGATAGAGACAGAGAGAGAGAGAGCAGGGAGAGGGGCAGAGGGACAAGCAGACTCCCTTGAGTGTGGAGCCCGGTGTGGGGCTCGCCGTAGGGCTCGATCCCAGGACCCTGAGATCATGACCTGAGCTGAAGTCAGATGCTTAAACGACTGAGCCACGCAGGCACCCCCAGGCACACACATTTTTAAGGCTTTTGCTGAACATGGCCGAATAGAACCTCAGAAAGCTTGAGCCAGTTTGTCCTGCAGCAGCGTCTGAGACCATGCATTTTCTCACTCAGAGGTTTTCATGTTTAAATACACTGATGACCTTCCTTTCCTCTGCCTCGTACCTTACATCTAGAACATGCTTTACATCTGGAACCTGGGACACTGGGTCTAACACTTGGGTGCCCTGATTGGGCTGCAGAATTTTCCCGTCATCCCCTGTGTCCCTCACTCAGCAGTTTTCCCAGCTTTGAGGTTGCCCCGAGGGGAAGGGAGGCTGGCAGAGGATGCCCGACGACACCAAGGTGCCCTGACGTGGGCCCTGTCCTCCTGATTTCCAGGTTGTGGTGCTGCAGGCTATCATGAATTATGTTCTGCCCGTGACTGTGATTCCCAGGATTAACGGTAAGGAGCTTTGGAGAATGAGTGACTTTTAGTCCTAGGGGAAGCAGGTGGGGCTCAGTCCTAGAGTCACCTAATATCTGGCCCAAGTTATGGAGGCTGGAAGGTGGTCACGTCAAATGAACCTTCAGTGGCATTTGACCCAGAAAAGGGATGGAGAAAAGGGGCCGCCCACAGCTTGCGCTCCTATTATGTGCCCATCTATTATTCCATCCAATCTTTAAGACAGCCCCACGAGATGAGGATTTTCAGGGGAGGAGATGGGAGATCCGAGAAGTCAAGTGGGCTGCTGCAGGTCACAGAGAAGGTGAGAGAAGAAGCCGGAGCCCTCAGCCTTTTCCCACCTCTGAGAGAAGCTCCAGGGAAGAAGGACTAACCTCGGCTCCCGGCTTCCGCTCACCACACTGATAAAAGCCTCACCTTCGTGGAGCCAGGAGCAAGAGTGCTCAGAGAGGCCCACAGACCGCGGGCCAGAATAGTTAGAAATTATAAATCAAGACCACAAATGATTCTCAAGACTACGACGTCTCTTCCTACCTTGACAAATGTAGCTTCGAAATGACCTGGGAGAATGGGGTTGAGTTTAGAATTCTCTGGAGTTCCATGTCAGAATATGGCGGTATGGGGTGGGGGGAGCTGGTCCCTGGCTACTCTGGTTTCACCCTAAACATTGAGGGTCTTCATGTGCATACCAGTAGATACCCCAGTCACATGCCCCAGGCTATCTACCCCCCACCCCTGCAAGCAGCCGCCCCTGGCCATGTACACCAGCCATGAGTGTGGACTTGGGGAAGAGGCTTGCATGGGTCCTGAATGTGGGCTTGGGGCTGTTGGGGTGGGAAGGCTGGGCTCCCAGGTCCCTGGAGCGTGGTGAAGAGTCAGAGTCTCCAGAACAGCCTACACTTCAAGCCTGCAAGCACCTGCCAATTCCTACTCAGAGCCAGGCACGCAGGTTCAGGGAGGCCGCCCCCCTCACCCGGCTCTCTAGGGCTGACCTTCGCCTTCCCTCCCCTCGTGCTGACCTCATCCTCCATTGCAGAGCGGCTGGAGGAAGGCTTCCCTCTCCCGCTGCCCGCCAACATCCGGCTCTTCAACCTGGTGCTTCAGTCCCACCAGGTAGGTCCAAAGGTCCCTTTTCACCCAATGTCCCTCAACAACAGCAACCTGTTGCCAGAAAGCTTCCTGTGGGCAAGCCCTGTATCAAGCACTCTCTACCCTTACAGCACCCTGCAAGGTGGGTGGCTCTTAATGAACAGGGAAGAAAGAGTCAGGCTCAGAAAAGCCACACAGCTCTTCAGGCAAGTCCAAATTCACAGCCAGGTCCCTGCTTTGAACCATTGGCTCTGAAGCATCCCCCGCCTCTGCTCCATAAAAACCGGAGCTCACTTGGTGGCCTCAGAGCCTCTTTTATAAGTGGATGCCTTTACATCTTTGATGTAAGGTGGCATGCCTCCCAGCGGGTAAAAAGAGAGGCACGAAGTGGAGACCTATGTCCCAAAATGGACGACCTTCTCTTACCTGTCCCCCAGCCAGACCCACAACAGCCTCTGAGACTAGTTAGGAATGCTTTCTTCTCCTAGCTTGGAAGGTTCCCTTTCCTGGTTTTCCAGCTACCTCTCGCTGGGTCGATGCAGTCCTCCTTACTGGTTCTTCCTCCCCCCTCCTCCC